TGATATCACTTCTGTCTCAATCCCTGGGTAAAGGCATAAGGTGACAAAGTAAGCTAATGCAATTGAGACCATGTATTGCCAAACATTCCGGCCAACTTGCCAACGAGCAATAACTCCTCCTGCAGAGAAAAGAAAATCCTTCATTAGTTGTCTCCTACTTCCATAGCAATCAAGCATTCTCCAACAGAATTATAGACTGGGTTTGTTTTACTTCATTACCAACACATCACTTCAGAAAATTTCCCCACCCACACTTGTGCCGCCTATGCTTCAAGCTGTTCCATTTGCTATAACAATCAGGAGTTCCCTTTTGGTGTTTTCTAACTCTATCAAACATGTAACAGTTTTTAATAACTTACTCTTAATAGCAGACCAAAGTCTAATTGATCTTGTATATGTAGATGTATAACTCCTCTTACTCTCCCCATGATGATGTGTTCCACTCTGTAGCTTGGAGCTGTAGAATCAATTGGATCTACAGAGGCACAACAGGCAAGGTGGCAGCAGAATGGAAAGTGGCTGTTGAGTCAGAGGTTGTCACTGTCCCTCCATATGAACTATTAGCACTTCCACCGCCATGAAAGCCCCTCCCTATGTCGACCTAGGTGAGAGACAATTCATTGTCTTTATAGTATCTAAAAGACCAGAAAGTATTTTCCTAATTCTGATAAAATGGTTAAAAAGCCTCCAGATCCTTTCTGAGCAGGAAGTGTGAGTGGTTTATTTTGGAGAATCAAGGGATGAACAACAAAAACTTTTCAAACAAAGGTAACATAAATACATTAAAGGGATTATCTTAAATTACTTGCATGGCTGTTACTTAAAAACTGTAACATTTTTCTTTTATATAGCAATGTCATATTCCAAGATTTCTAAGTCTGAGAAATTAGTTCCTTAAGGGTATTACAGATTAACAGAAGACAAATAGATATTTTGGTTAAATTTTAGTTAAATTCCCTTTCAAGAGCTTTAATTTCCTCCTGGAAAGTTTTAGTCAATACCCAGAGTATAATGTGTCAGAAGGTAAACTGCAGACTGACATACAATCTAAAGATGGTTAGCCAAAAATCAGAATCAATAATGTTTTCTCTAAGTAAAGAAATAACAATAATAAATAAACTAATTTCAAAGATATTAAATTTCCACTCAGATCAAGAAGCAAGATGAATATACTTACTAGAGTAGCATCTTCTGATGGCTCTAAAGTAATTCTCTTGAGGTCATCTCTGTCTTCACTTGTACGGCATAAGTTTAGATAAAACTGTAAGAAAAGTTGACATATAAAACAAATGAAGTGAAGACAAGTACCCTTTGCATGCTGACCAACTAATCCTAATGAAGAGCACTCACCTCTTTACAACCACAAAAATAAAAAATTATCTAGATTACAAAAAAAGCACCATTTACTAACAGAAACACTGTCTTGCAATACGTTATGTGTTCAACTTCCTGATAGGTCATAAGTCACAAAAGCTCTAGCCAATAAATAGCAACATATATTTTATGAATCAGTTTCTTTTCAATACTGGCTATCAATAGGGATTTGATTTCCAGGAATATAATGCCTGTATCTTGGAAACCTCAATAGAAATTTGCACACTCCCTTCAATATTTCCGTCATTTGCCAGTCATTGCAGAGACCAGGTATAGTTCAGTAACTAAGAATGTATTTTTTCTATTTCTCATTATACAAGACAAAAAATACAAATACAGGAAACTGAATTTAGTTGTAATGTAGTTCAATATATAAATGCATTACCAGTTAAATTGGCTCCAAATAATGTAATGCAGAAACTTATTTGCATATTAATATAAATATAATTAAAGTATTCCAAATGTACTTTCATTGTGAATCTTATGTGCATAGAAAAGGTTAACATAAATTTTTAATATGTAGGAAAAATTAACCACTGAAAACCACGCTCTCCAGCTTACTGTCCCTCTAGCTGGAAAATAGGTACAATTTTTCACATCTGTCTGAGTCAAATTTTGGTATTTGGCATTTGAAGAGCCCAGTATTACACACCAGAAAATGTATATTTCATTTCAATATTTCAAGAACAACAAGTATTAGTAGAGTACAAAATATAAAAAGTCATCATTGGTATCACTCAAATGTATGAATGAAAATGGGAGAGAGATTACTATGAACATATAAATAAAATGCATAAAATAATCCTTTTATCACATAAAACAATAAAATGTATATTTAGATGTATTCATATCTAGAAGTATAAACAGTAAAAAGACAATAGTAAATCAGGAGGAGACTCCATGATACATATAGTATGGTGTGTGGAGGAGGAAAATATTTAGGGTTTGGCTGGATGAACTATACCATACAGCACTAGAATTACTACCTCATACTCACTACACTTCATTCACAAGAAAACAAAGATGGAGGAGGGCATATAAGGGGAGTGAGGGTATGGAGGGTGATACTGTGGGTGTGGCTGAAGGAAACTTACCAAACATTGCCAGATATATTACAAAAACACTACATATTTTTTGTTCATAATGAAATTATCGCTGGAAAAAATCCCACCAGCAAACAGCCACAGTTGTGATAAACAAAAATTTGGTGATTAACAAGTTGGACAATGATTTAGCATACAAGTAACAAAATGAAACTGCAGCTACATATAAACTAATTTTACAAATTAATAGCAAAGTGTAAATAAGTCTTGGAAAGGTATATTCCTGTTAAAAAGATATATTTATAATTATTCTTTTCGCTTACATTTATACATTAACAGACGTAGTTCACAACTGTATTACAAGACCTGTGGTGAATTCTTGACTCTTGCAATGTTTTCAATCCTTATTCCCGTAGACTCTCAACCCTAAGAATCAGCTAATCCAAAACAGCCCATGTGCCTCAGAACTTGTATCAGAATTTTCAACTTTATTATTGCTGCAATGGGACATAGCCACTTCATGAATGGCAAAATAACTGTAACTAAAACTCATGTACTGGCAAAGTGAACAGTGGACTCTAAATCTATATTACTACTACTTCTAATCTATGGCAGTAAATGGAAGGATTTGTAGTACACCATTATTGAGGTTAATATAGTCTGATCACTGAGGGTTCTGGCTGTACTTGATTAGAGAGAAAAATATATGGTTGCTTACATATGGTAGCAGAATGACTGGACACTAGTTCTTTCCTTTACTATGTACTAGCTGACAAATGGGATTTTTCCTTTCTATGAAAGACTGTAATATTCAAGTTTTGAACAAGAACACCAAGAAGAAAAATATCAACAGCAGAGTAGCAAAATATACTCAAATAATTACAATTACACTTAACAGTATCAACAAAAGAAGGCAACTAAAATAACCATCTCATCAAACAAATTTTTAAATAATAAACAAAGGGCTAATACTCAAAAATGGATTAGCAACAACATCAAAGACAAGACACTAATATCTGTGACAACAGTAGCAATCAAAACAAAAATAACAAAAAGAGGATATCACGAACAGCAACAAAAAGTGAACTAAACAAAAGGTGCACATAGACTGACAACAAAAGAGCTGCAATGACAGACAACATAAGAACATTCTTAAAAATGACAACAACCATGCATAAAGCATATCAGTGAAGTGGAAACTAAGTAACAAAATTTCACAAAAAAAGATCTAAGTCAGAACAAGCTGCATTCAAAGACACTATTTCCTATTATATACCTGTATAAATGTTGTCTTCTGAACAGCAATATGAGTAATGAGGCAGAGGAAGACAAAAGCGATGGAGACAACAAAGAAGATCAGCGTGTTTGTTCGCTGATCGTCCAAGAGCAATTTTGTCAAAATACGGTTCCCCGAGATGATTAGTCCAGCTGTGCCTACATGGTGTTGGAAAACTAATGTTACCAACTGAACACTTTTGTATCACAAATCACTAAAAAGATTTTAAACACTGAAATTAACTTTTAGACAAGGAGATTATTCGGTTACCTATTTCAATCCCAAAAGATGATGCTTCAAAACTCAATATCTAGTCAATACTTTCATCCTGGTTAACCCATGGAGTACAAGACAGCTTAAGCTGGGGAGTGCCAGGTTGTAAGCCAAATTTTATTTAATTTTATTTATCTATTTTCTTTAATGATGATTTGAATGTTTGTATCCAAATTCGCGATCGTGAAATAAGATAGAAATGACAATATACTTGGTAATTGTACACCATTGGATAATGCAAAAAGGATCACTGCGCACTCCATGGGTTACAGAGCTGCTAAACACAACTCAAGCGAACTTATTTTTAGAATACCTCTCTCTCTCTCTCTCTCTCTCTCTCTCTCTCTCTCTCTCTCTCTCTCTCTCTCTCTCTCTCTCTCTCTCTCTCTCTCTCTCTCTCTCTCTCTCTCTCTCTGTGTGTGTGTGTGTGTGTGTGTGTGTGTGTGTGTGTGTGTGTGTGTGTGTGTGTGTGTGTGTGTGTGTGTGTGTGTGTGTGTGTGTGAGTGTGTGTGAGTGTGTGTGAGTGTGAGTGTGAGTGTGAGTGTGAGTGTGAGTGTGTGTGTAAGAGCATGCATATAGTATAATATAAACATATAAGTGTACTATGTATATGTTTATATATATGGATGGAAGGGTGGGTGGTTGGATGGAGAAGTGGATGGATGGATAAATTGACAGCTGATGGACATACTAATGGATGGATGGATTTACATTAATGACAATGAACCTCTTGAAAATGTTTATTAAATAAAGGTGTTCACTGCAACCTTGATACTTCTTTTCAATCCAAGTGTATTTTCTGTAAATGTATAAGGAAAGAAAGAATTGGAATAGACAGAGAAAATTAAAGGAAGAAACTGAAATATGGAACAGCAGAATTTTGAGAGTGAAATCAGGAAGACAAAGAGAAGGAAGAACAGAAAGAGAAAGAGAAAGAAAATATAGAAAGCCTAAACAGAAAGAGGACTAAGGAAATATCTAATGATAGACTGAGTGAAAAACAGCTCAGAAATCAGTGAAATGCATGAATGAGTTGAATTATCACGGCAAAACACTATAACAGTAATGTAAACAATGGCAGCAGATACTCACTCTCTCCTGTCATGACGGCCTGAGTGTATCGCTTTGGAAGCATGCTGGTGTATCCATAAAAACTTGACTGCTGAACTGCAAGTAAACAAAAACAGGTGCTACAGGTTTACCAACATATTGTTTACAGTATAATCATTGCCTTAAATTGAAAATTATTGCAGTTCAAGTTTTCTAAATATTAAACACGAGTACAATTACATATCTATAAGAAGAAAGATCTCTGTTTAAAAGATTAATTGCACTAAACATGAAAAATATTTGAGAGATTAATAATGCTCAAGAATGAATCAATTTCTTTGGTTGTTAGGAAAATAAGGAGAAAACTTCTGAACCCCTTTCTGCCACTGAAAAAGCTGCTTGAGAACCTCTTCCTTCCCCTATATTTTCATTCATTAATTTTCCTATAACAAAAACTGAATATACAAGAATCTAATATTAGAGCATGGCATCAAGACATGGCTATCACACAAATGTGAAAACCTTTGAAAGGGTTAACATCAACTCCTGTACTACTAAAACAATATTTATTAATTATAAAATGATGATATTATTTAAACATACAATACATTGACATATTCTTTTCACTACATTACAGTACATAAAATAAAACAATGCATAAAGTGTCAATTCTTTTTCTAGGACTTTAACATAAAAAATATTACTGTGGGTGGTAAGCAGAGAGGAAGGGCACTAGGGTATGCTGCTGTGAATTACTGGTTGGGGTGGACTTAACTTCCTGTAATCATTGCTAAAGATTCACTGAGGTTTAATTTTGTATAATATAAAGAAACACATCCACATATGTAAAATCACAGGAAGTAGTAATAAGAGAGGGATATTGATGCTTCTGTCCAATTTGGTGTGTACACCTTTTACCTGACTGTGTCTTGGGGTGATTATAATACTGCTCTCAAGAAGGATCAGTTCCAAGTTCAGATCCAGAGATGGCAGACTGAAATTATGTGACTTATTTAATTTGGCCTTTTTTATTTCCTGTGACCACCACATAATTTAGTATAAAGTAGTATGAGTACTTCAACTAATAATAAACCTAGCGTATCCATCCTTCAATGGAAATCCTTCAGACACATTAATGGCAAAAATGGGAAACTGCAATTATAACATCCTAGTCTTGCTAGCACTTGCTATTTCTTTAAGCTTTCTAGTATGTACAGTTATCTCCTGAAAAGAAAGTGTTTTGAGGTACTGAATATTACTGCTTCTCAATCTACATAATATTTTATATATTAATAAAAAAAATATTTCTCAAAACACTTCCCTAAGATATTTCAGTTGTTACATTTGATGGTGCAAAGCATGATACTAATTTCAATATAAATATTTAATTCTCCTTCTTAAATACACATTCCACTACCTACATCTATACAGGTTACAAATGAAGACACAATAGGCAAATTCAAACAATCATTAAAGTCTAGGTAGACTGAGATCCATTAAAAAAGAATAATTTAATAAATTTGGTAACTTCAAAGTGAATTGTAGAACTTAACCAGACATTTCTCAAGACACTTAATAACCATCATATTTTCAGATGTTGAATAAAATGAAATAGCCATATCTCAGTACAAATCCGACACTCCTTAACACATAGAGTATTTGAATGAACTCACTTCCATTCTCTCTCTGCTGTTTACTTTTTTCTTTTCATGTTTTCTGCTCCAATCATATCTTTTCATAAACACTTTCTCTACATATAAAATAATTTAATAAATAAATAAATTCTATACTCAAGTCACTTACTCAGTGAAATAAAATATCTCCAATTACTTCCTTTGCAACTACTCACCTGTACAACCAAATGCCACAACTGAGACGGAGAAGAGAGTGATTTTGTATGAGACATGTTCTGGGAAAGTGTCAGGCCACCAAATTTCAAAGAAGCTGACGAAGATCAACATAAGTAATGACACAATATATCCTGTAATGCAAATAAACATTTGTTACAACATATTTATAAATATATATGTTCTGCTGTACTTAAAATAAGGCAGACTGTCTCTTGAAAAATAAGACTAATTCAGCATAGACATATATACAAAAATTGCAATATATTTAAATCGACCCTACTGAAATACCTCAGTATAAAAATACAACCATATGACTGTAAGCAACTTCTAACTGCTTTTTTAAAAGCAGTAATATAGAAAATTGCATTTAATATATAATCTAAATTTCAAGCAGCACTTAAAAAAGAAAAGCAAAAGAGAGAAAATGCAAAGTTAAAGCTATATTAGTTTATTTCCATTTTAGATCCTACTAATATACCATCTATACTAACCACTTCTTTGCACTTCTCCCTTTCTCCACTTCCTATAGGTATGTCCATTTTTAATTGTTTTGTTTAACAAAAATTGTCATTTCAATGAAAGCCCCTATAAAATCTATGATTTGTTCTAAATACTAAGAAAATCTTTCATCGCACACTTACCAAATATAATTCTGATGTTAAGGGGTACCAGTTCCACAAACAGGTTGTTTAAGAGCACAGCCCCAAATGCAACAAAGATGTATACAATGGAAATGTCAAAAACAATTGTGGATTCTGGATAGCGTTGTTTGAAGTAATCAACTGCGATTGTAAAACTGTAAAATACAGTAAATACAGTCAGTGAATTCATAAATTAAAATTCACAATATACAACATAAAATAAGCAATATCTTGTGTAAATATATAACAGATATCCACAACTGGAGGATTCAGTATAGGAATAAGTTTTG